CCAGCCTGCCCTCGCAGCAGAGCTGCTCCAGCCCCTGGATCAGCTTTGTGGCCTCCTCTGAGCTCGTTCCAACAGCTCCATGTCCCTCTTAGGGTGGGGACACCAGAACTGGACGCAGGATTCAAGGTGGGGTCTCAGCAGAGCCGAGCAAAGGGGGAGAATCCCCTCTCCTGCCCTGCTGGCCACACTTCCCTGGATGCAGCTGAGGGCAGGGTTGGTCTGTTGGGCTGCAGGAGCGCCCTGCCGGCGCGTGCTGAGCTCCTCGAGTGTCAACACCCCCAAATCCTTCTCTTCGGGGCTGCTCTCACCCCACTCTGTGCCCAGTTTGTGTTTGTGCCTGGGATTAGCCCGGCCCAGGTGCAGGACCTTGCATTTTGACTTGCTGAAGCTCCTGCAGTTTGCACGGGCCCATTTCTCCAGCCTGGCCAGGTCCCTCTGGGTGGCCAGAAGGCCCGTCTGAAAGACCGCAGGTATTTGCCATCTCCAGGCTGGGATGTGAAATTGGAATCTCTTCATTGCTCTGAGCCTACAGGCAGGTCAGCTTCCAGGAGGAACTTGTCTGAACACGTTTCTGCGCTGACTTCAGCTACGGTTGTGTTTGCAGGTGGATGCGAAGGAAATATGTAACTTAAATCCAAACCTTTTAGATTTTTGGTAGCTTTCTGTGCATGTAATCCTGCTATTCTGGGAGAAGCTACCTTTTTTAAAAACATATCCTTGAATTTTTATTTACCGTAGCGGAGAGCCGGGAAGCCAGGGCGTTATTTAGAAGTCGTTTGTGAGGTGTTTTAAAACAGCGACCAAAATTGTGAATATTGGGATGTACCTCTGGTTGTAGATTACAAATACCCGTTAGATATTTGAAGAAGTAAATCTGTAGGTTACAGATACCCATTAAATATTTTAAAAAGGAAATCTAGCAGCCATCGGACATAACTCTTAGCGCATTATCTGTCTTCTTATGTCTAAAAAAACCCGTAATAGGGCCAGATGAAAGAAATCCAACCCCGTTGAGTCAAATTAAAGCCAGGCTGCTTCTCCGTACGGGCAGATTGCTCGGGAGAGGCTTCTCCTGGCTCTTGAAGGAGAGTGATTGTCCCAATGAGCCTGGCACAGCCTGAGGGTTGATATTTTAAATTTTTTTGGCCTGGTGTAGGTGGACGGAGAGCTGGAAGCGCTGCTGGAGAACGGAGAGGGTCTTTCCGACAAGAACCAAGTGCTCAGCTTGTCCCGGCTGATGGTTCGGATCGAAACGCTGGAGCAGAAGCTCACCTGCCTCAAACTCATACAGGTGAGGTCCTGGCTGAAGCGGGGGGAGGAAGCTGCGGCCCCTAAAGCCGCGTCCTCGGAGCTCTCGTTGGAGGGGGAGGGTGGGAGGAAGGTTTTGTGCCCGTGTCGGCATCCCAAGCGCCAGCCAAGCTTTCAGAGATCGCCTGTCACCTCCACCTCGCTCCTTTTGTGCAGCTTGGCTGGGGCGGTGATGCAAAATGCCCCAAATTATGTAAATAAACTCCTTGATGTGTAAGACTTTAGAGGGTAGACAAGCAGTTTGTCAGCTTCAAATCCCACCTGTCTTATCCCCGAGGTGTGACCCTACTGGGCACGGGTGGCTTGTGCTGGTTTTCTGGGCAATTTTCGTTAAGTTCTTGTCGAAATTAAAGGTTTGGAATTTGCTTGTAAGCCTCTGACCGTTCCTGTGGGTCCTCTCTAACTTTGGCTCACGCAGAACACGCACTCGCAGTCCTGCCTGAAGTCCTTCCTGGAGTGTCACGGCTTGTCTCTCCTCTGGATTTGGATGACGGAGCTGGGCGACGGGAGAGGAAGCACCGCGAACAACCTCAAGTTGCAGCTGGAGGTCGGTAATTCCCTCGACTTTGAAGCTTTCCGAGCAGCTTCACTACTTGTTCAGGAGCGTGATGATTTTATTTATTCTTTTTAAATATACCTATTATACACCAAATATTCATGAGAACAAACTGCAGGTATCCTCAGAACCGCAACCTAAAGCTTCTACTTTGAGGGAAATCTTTTAATATATGGAAAGAATTTGCACTTGTGGTTCTTCTTAGATTTCTGAGTGAGCAACATGAGCCAGACTTAAAGGTTGTTGCTGTTTATTCCATACGGAACCATGCAGGGAATTTGAGGTAGCGACAGCCTGAAGTGGAGCTTGAATATTCCTTTTTTTTCTCTGCATGCTTCGGCCTTGCATGCAAAAAGACATCTGGAAGTGCCTTTACTAGGGATGCTGTGCCACGAAGGTTGCCGTGCAGTTTGGAGTCCTGCGTCCCGAAGGAGAGACCAGAAGCCACGTGAGCTCTAGAGCTCGTGGCGCCTCTCCCGCTGCCTCCACTTTCATTTTTCAGAAGCGATGACAATCCTTCCCCGCCCTGCTTCCTTAGCTCAACACGATTTTTCACTTGGCTTTCTGGAAAGGCCACCAGTCCCACCGGCTCGTCCTCATCCATCCTTCCTCGGACAGAGTTTTCCCTGTAAATACCTGGGTTAGAGGTCTCTGATGTTCCATCGGAGCTTGCTGACGTGGAGGATTTGAGCAGACCCACCCCTACTTCATCTGGATTTGTGTTCATACGGTGCCTGCCCTCCTTGCTCCCTGCCGTAGAGGTGCCGTGGCCTTGTGGAGCTGCAGGGTAGCTCAACTCCGACTCATCTTTGACCTCTGGCTTTGCAGAAATCAATGGTCAGGTTAAGGGTAGACTCTAGTTTTCCCCTGGAAACGACTCAAACACTCAACCTCGTTGATCACAAACCCAGAGCTGCTCCCTCCACGGAGAGGGAAACCAGCGGTGACTTTGTCTCCACCCTCGATACATCCACCGTCAACTTCGGTGGGGTCCTGTGAATTGGGATATATTCTTTTAAAATCCAGGTGATTCTCCACTGCGTTGCAAGTGGAGCTTGGGATAGGGGCCAGATGACGTGTTGCTCTTTTTTCTTTCCCCTTTTTGAAAAGAACTGTTGTCATTTTGAGAAAAATGGTCTCTTTGGCTTTCTCTGCTGGAGGGCTGCGTTTGAAAGCAAACATATCAAAAAATCTTGTGTAAGGGCTTGCTTCAGAGTCAGGGATTTGGGGTCTGAAGTTGCTGAAGTCACTTGCTGGGTCCTGGAGCAGTTGTGCTATTTAATGTCTCGTGCTTCCTTCTGTGCCTGTGGTGGGTTTTGCAGAAGGATTTTGAAGATCTTTGCAGTAACTTGGTTCTCAGGCTTTGGCTACAACCCAGGTGAGGCCAGGCACCAGCACAGCTC